AGTGTAAAATATGAGATATAGATTGAGTACAGCTTAAGATAATGAATTCCTATAAAAGAAGGGGACCTCAAAAGCTACCTAGTTTCAATATTTGGACACCAAAATGCCTAGGTCAAAATCTAGGTCAAATTCATAGTTTTTCCTTATTTTTGCGATTCTGGCACTACACTTTTACGATTTGCTTCAAAATTTTGTATACAGGTAGCAAAGAGTGTGCTAATAGTGTTAGCCTTTTGCCGTCAGAGAGTATTTTGACCCACTTTTGAGATATGGTGTCCGAAAAGTAGGTCAAAATAAAACATTCTCCAAATTTAACATATGAGTTATGAATTAAGAGTAGAATTTTCTCAGGAATCCGAATCTGCAAATCAAATTTCGATCTGACTTCCGGTTCAAAAGTTATGGTGTGTCCGAAAAGTAGGTCAAAATAAAAATTCGCCAAATTTAACGTATGAGTTATGAATTAGGGGTAGAATTTTGTCAGGAATCCGAATCTTTAAATCAAATTCAGATTTGACTGCTGGTTCGGAAGTTATGGCGTTTTGAAATTTCGAAAAATCGATCTGATGGTATCCTGATAGAAAGTCAAGGAAAAAAGATTTTTTTGAAGTGTAAAATACGAGATATAGATTGAGTACAGCTTAAGATAATGAATTCCTGTAAAAGAAGGGGACCTCAAAAGCTACCTAGTTTCAATATTTGGACACCAAAATGCCTAGGTCAAAATCTAGGTCAAATTCATAGTTTTTCCTTATTTTTGCTATTCTGGCACTACACTTTTAGGATTTGCTTCAAAATTTTGTATACAGGTAGCAAAGAGTGTGCTAATAGTGAGAGCCTTTTGCCGTCAGAAAGTATTTTGACCCACTTTTGAGATATCGTGTCCGTAAAGTAGGTCAAAATAAAAAGTTGTCATAATTTAACTTACGAGTTATGAATTAAGGGTAGAATTTTCTCAGGAATCCGAATCTGCAAACCAAATTTCAATCCGACTTCCGGTCAAAAATTCCTACTTACCTACCTACTTACCTACTCGGCTACCTACTTAGCTACCTACTAAGCTACTTACTCAGCTACCTACTCAGCTACTTACTCAGCTACCTGCCCAGCTGCTTACTCAGCTACCTACTCAGCTACTTACTCAATTACTTAATTATCTACTTACTCAGCTTCCTACTCAGTTACTTACTCAGCTCTTTACTCAAGTAAATCAATCTGGAGTCTTAAATTGAACTTTGTTCAATTTACCAATCTAGTTAATTTATGAGATCATTATATCAAGTTTTTAGTGCTTTAGTGTGAATACATACATATTAATTCAACTTTTGACAAAGTTGCAGCCACAAAATCCAAACAGATTTGCAAATATTTCACTTTGAGAACTTAAGGACACATATGGGATGGGGTCAAATTGAGAAGATTGTGAGATATAAATACTGTTTCCATGGTAACCATATAAGTCAGAGATTGGAAATTTCTGGCACTGACTAACCATGGCATGCCCTACCCACCATAAAACGATGAATATCTGATATGCATTAGTATTATTTTTATTGGGTGGTATTAAAGTACCCCCAAGGTTTTGTTGGGGTAGGGGTATAAATTGGCCTGAGGGCCTTCTGCCACCCCTACATAAAGTCCAACTACCCAGAAAGTGTCTATTTTAATCATACAAATTGTTTGAAATATGTTGGAATGTGTGACCTTCCATGAAAAGCAAGATCCATTTCTAGAGCACTTCTACAGAATAGTCCGCAGTCTAAATGTTCGGGGACTTATTGGCAGTGTCTACAGCCATTTAGTGGTGTGCTATATACAGAAACGAAGTACTAGGTTATTGTTAAAGTGTGATGGAATGATCATAGAATTCAAAAACTAGGATCATGTGCCCCATTTATTGTCACATTTTACTTGTATTTAAAATTAGTTTTGAATAATTAGTTAAATAAGTTTTGATATCTTAACTCTTTTAAGCCTTGTATGTTATTTCAAAGAGTGACTTGATCATCAAAAACTCAGGTTTCCATGTCAGAAAAAATTTAGCTTCAGTATCCATTAAATCGGGAAAATATGGATTTTAACCTGATTTTTTTTGTCTCTAATTAGTATCCAAAACATTTTTTGTCAAAAAAAAACCAATTCATGTTTGGTCAAAACTGGAAATGATTTGAAGTTTTCAATATGATGTTATTTTTTCGAGGTAAGGTATAACTATGGGATATGTAATGTAATAGTTTAGAAGTTTGGCTATATTATACTAAAATTGTAATGGTATTGTTTTTCTGATTTATGCATTCTGAAAATTCAAAATGGCTGGATAGAGCAGGAATTCGCCATTGCTTAGAGATATTTAAGTATGGTTACATGATACTATAATGATCTCAAATATTTATTGAAGGGAAGAATAGTTGGTAAATATTACATTGTGAGTGTACAGATTCATGATTTATATTGTGTTTGTTGGGATTTGCTACTCCATGGAGTTGCCGATTTCTAGTTTCTTTAATAATGATTTTTATATTACTACATGTATGTAATAGATAGATTTTATTTGATGTATTCTAATTCTATGGTATTTTGTTATCCCATTGAATGAATTTTAAGGGAATATAGAGAACGCATCTATCCGGGACGATTTTGTTCATATTTAGTACACATATGCCCTATGGGAGTTCTGTTTGAAAGCCAATTTTACAGTAATTTATGTGCAATATATAAAACTGTAATTGCAATATTTTTTAAATATAAGAAAGATATACAGGACATTACTAAAGCTAGAAATGTAGATATTTCAGAAACACATGGCAGGCACCTTGAAAATGGTCGCCTTTTCACACTGTTTTACGATTTTTGCTGTAACTTGGAAAGTAGAGGAGTGATTTTTTCATATTTGATTTGTTTATTCTCATAAGCATGAGTTTTTACATTTTTACTATCTTAAAAAGTAATAGAGTGTTTTACTCATATTTGATATGTGAATACTCATAAGTATGGAATACTGTCTAATGACATTTTCTCAGTAGGCAGCCATTTTGAAAAATGCACATTTAAGAGTGTGCGATTTTTAAAAACATTTTGCTGTTCATATTTGATATCTTTAAAAGTTTATAGTCTATTATATTTTCATAAAATTGAATGGTTAAAATAATATGTTCTTTTTATGACATTACTCATTTAGTCTAACAGTAAAACTCCCATTTGGATTAGAAAAGTATATATAGTGGTATATGTAGAAAAATATTGTACCAAATTTTGATAACAATAGTTAAGACATAAGTGTAAACTCTACATGGGGTCATTTACAGTATGTTTATCATACATTTAATTGAGAAATTTGTGGCATTGTTAAGCTGCAGTTTCAAAACTTTTTTTGCATACACTCCCTGTCTGCTAAAATTGTTTGAAAACAGCAAATTATTTAAATAGGATGCAAACCATGGAATGAATGAATTTTTGACCTCAAATGATATCTTCTTTTCAGGAAATTAAAAGAATTTATTGGGCAATTCATGATCTTTTGATTGACATACATAAAAAATATGGTGCCTAAAAATGATATCAAATCTTATTATAATTTCAACACAATGTTTTGAGCTAAAAAGCACTCAGAATAATACCAAAATGACATTTGATATCAGTAAATCACATCTCGAATGTGGGAAGTCATAATCTGGCTGACTAAGAAAGTAGGATATCCTTTAGATAACTACATTTCATTATCAGTTAGTTCCAGAAATATCAGAACTGATCTTGTGACAATCTTATAGTACAGTGCTTATATAAAAAAGCCATGCCTTTATGGTAAATATGAAAAGACTGCCCTATATATCGGTGATTGCTCCATTTAGTTTTAATGGTGTACTGAATAGTTTTCAATGGGCATTTTATTCTATTCTAGAAACCTTTCAGTCGGCAAAATGCGAATGACCAGCCTTTGAAATAAATCGTTCTATATAATCGTTTTTGTGTTTTTAGTTATTTAGTTTTTTTTGCTTAACACATATTAATATTTACACTTTCTTTTACTTTTATTGGATTTTTTTATAAATCTTAGTATCTTTTGATAACTAATAATAACTGTTTTTTCAACCAACTTTGGTGAGGTTTTTGAGATTCTTGAGACCCTTGAGGTCACACAAAGAAGTTGATAAGCTGACATCTAGAAAATGTAAGTACACATTTAGATAATTTTTCCCCTGAATTTGTATTTTAACATTGTTTAAACAGTTAAATGAGTAGAATATCCAACTATTTTCTATTTTGCCATTGCCTAAATAGCCCAATGGACTACTGATTTTATTGTGAATATATGACTTCAAACTGACTGTCCTAACATAATTAATAATTATTTAGCATTGGCAAAATAGGAGGAAAGCAAACATTTTGAACTTTACAATTTTGATTTAATCATTTTAAGTTAATATGGTTGCCCTTAACATTAACCAGTTATTTTGCAAAATGTATAGCAACATATAAATGTATATTTGGGCATAGCTTCCCTTGAACTATTGTAATGCTAAATTCAGGTTACAATCTTTAAGTCACACCTTTTTGACTCATCAGGAGCTATTACTGTCCAATGTATAATTTATCCTTTCAAATGAATCACTCTTGCACCAAACTTGCCATCCCAGCAATATTATGCAAAGAAGATACTCCCAAATTTTAATGCTTTTGTATTTTTTATATAAACCTTAATTATGAAAATTGTTTACCTGATGCATTATACTGTATCCATAAAAAAATTGGTAAAATAATTTTATAATGCAGACTGTACTTGTACTAGATAGTATATTGTCACACCTAAATTTATATTTGTAGTGATGGAAGAACACCACCACAGTTACAGTTGGGATTCATTCTTGCCGAAAATAGGCCCTGGGTAACATCAATAGTATAAGAGACAAGTACACAAGGAAAAGACAAGAACAGTTTCTTTGAACATGACATGAGAAGCAATAAGTTCAAAAATGAATTTATTAGAAAGCCGACAACTTAGGAAATATTTTTCTTTGAGTGTATGAATACTAGGATGGTTCTTAGCAGGAATTGTGTATGGATTTAATGTATATGCAATCTCTCTGAAAGAAACATTCAACTATACTCAGACTGAACTGGATTACATAGCATCAAGTGGTGATTGGGGAGAATGTTTGCAGTTTCCAGCAGGGATGGTTTTTGACAGGTTTGGTCCAAGGGTGACATGTACCGTCTCCCTTATCATCACAACAATGGGATTTTTACTCATGTGGAGTGCAACAACTTTTAGAATATTCTTCAGCTCAAAAAGTTGGCTTGTGTGTATTTTTTATTTTCTGACAGGATTTGGACCCACGTTTATTGCCCTAGCATCTATGGCAGTGAATTGTAAGAACTTTGACAAGAAACATTTGGGTAAAGTACTCGGCCTCCTTAATGCCATATTTGGGCTTACTCCTGCAGTAATAATTCCTATTTATCAAGGATTATTCGTACAAGGACACATTGAAGATGCAGCGAATCAAAAGTTAGGAGAGTTTATGTTAATGCTTACTGTATTATCAGCTTGTATATGTATATTTGGTGTTGTGATGCTAAAACCAGTTCCTGAAGAAACTCCATATGATGAGATTGAACAAACGGGAGAGACTGATATGGATGTGAAAAATGATGTACGTAGCAATAAACCCATGGAGATACATAAAAACATTAATGATAGAACAGCCCTTGTTCTAGAGAAAACAACAAAGCAGATACCACAAGATATGAATTGTTGGCAAATGATGCAAACACCTCAGTTTTATTATATTTTTGTGATTTCTCTGACAGTTGGGGGTATTTGTGTAGCAGTTGTAAATAATGTCACAATTATATTGGAATCTGCAGAGACTGATATAAATCTAATAACTTTCACATCTATAGTCCCAATTTTTGCATCCATTGGGCGATTATTTGGTGGGGTGATACCAGATCATGTATTCCAGAAATGGCCGGCCATTCCAAAGGCATCAATTCTGTTTTTTCCGGTCATACTTACATGTATCAGTCAAGTAGTCTTCATATTTTTTAATGGAAGATTCATTGGTTTGATATGTGCTTCTGTAATGGTAGCCCTAGCATATGGTGTTGTATTTGTACATATTAGTATTATCACCATTAACCAGTTTGGTCTGCACTACTGTGCACAAAACTGTGGATTAATGTTTTTGGGCACTGGAAGTGGAATAGTATTATTTCAAAAGCTTTTTGCTTTGAATTATGAAACCTATAGTCCACCTGGATCACATAATTGTTTTGGACACATGTGTACACAGTGGTTTTTTGTTCTTACAGCAAGTTTAAGTTTTTGTGCAGTTTTCCTAAATATTTGTCTGATGAAGATTGAAAGAGATCAGCAACTCCAACATGAAGAATCACAAGCCCCCAGCAATCAGAAATAAAACCAATAAATGTAAAATCATGTAGTATATAAATAAACTGAAATATGAAACATAAGGTTGACTTATAACAAATAAATATTTTATAGCAGATGTCATGTTATATTTCTCTTTATGTATATTTATTTCAATGATTTAATATAATAAAGTATATGCTTTTGAAATAAGTTTTTCAATTTTTATCATTATTTGATGGCGCAGATTACAGCTTCCAGAAATGGCCAGCCATTCAAAATGTTACAGAAGATCGCTTTAAACATTTAACACTCTCTCCCTTCTAATTCCTTCATCCTGACCAAGTTAATCAAATCATAAACAAAGTCTTAAGATCTAACAGTTTTGTTAAAATATTTAGAAATACATATACTCAAGCGGCAAATGGAACAAGACAAAATATACTTGAAAAATGAAACATCTAAGGGAACAACCGGTTACAAAGAAAACAAGTCCCAAATATCCTAAACAATGATCTAACCATAAAGAAATGTAAGCCCTATTTACATCATACCTGGCAGTCCAAGATGGCCTGACTAAGAGCTCTTACAAAGATTTAAAACATTTTGGCTGAGAGCTCTTATCCAAGATAGGCTCTGGCGACTCTGAAGAAAATGTGGACTTCTTAACTCTGAAACGTTTAACATGAGAGCTCTTATTGTGATTTAATTGGTGTTTCATATTAGATTGTGATAAGACATAGATTCAGATGCTCATGGAAACATCTTCAATTTGGTACCTCATGAATTCCTTAACCAGTATTTATGTTTTATTATCAGGAATTAACCTTATTATGAAGAATTCAATGAAAGCATATTTAGTTATGCCAGTAGGGATATAGAGAAGCTGTCTGTCTGTCAGTCAGTCTATCTGTCAAACACAGCAAAAAATGTGAATCAAACCACTGAATCCTGGAGTCAGGATTCATACAGGATTCATATGCACATATGAATCCTGTATGAATCCTGCCTCCAGGATTCATACAGGATTCGCTGTTTAAATAGTTTACAAATGAATCCTGCCTTCAGGAATCATACAGGATTCATATGCAATATAGTTTACAAATGAATCCAGCCTTCGGGATTCGTACAGGATTCATATAGAAGGTAGTTTGCAAATGAATCCTGCCTTCAGGAATCATACAGGATTCATATGCAATATAGTTTACAAATGAATCCAGCCTTCGGGATTCGTACAGGATTCATATAGAAGGTAGTTTGCAAATGAATCCTGCCTTCAGGAATCATACAGGATTCATATGCAATATAGTTTACAAATGAATCCAGCCTTCAGGATTCGTACAGGATTCATATAGAAGGTAGTTTGCAAATGAATCCTGTAGCCAGGATTCAAGCAGGATTCATATGCAATATAGTTTACAAATGAATCCAGCCTTCAGGAATCATACAGGAATCAAACGAAAATTGGAATTGATGTGTATGTTTCTATTCTAACACTCACATTGGCGTATCGCATATATTACGCCAAATGCGCACAGGCGTACCAAATGAATTCGAAAAATTTAATAAAAATGTGTAATTATTTAAAAGTTGTTCTGTGTGCTAATTTAAAATACATTGTTTTATTTATATTGTCTTCCCCGAATGGGTATATAAACTTTAAATATACATGTAGCCATGTTTATTGAAAAAAGGACATTGGTTTTATTCGGTCCGTTTTATTCTTATTGGTATTAACTCGCAAATGTCACTACTGGAAATGGTTTTGTGTGGCCATGGCAGGGCAAGAAGGGCCCCCGAGGGTCAAAAGGGGCCGTTCTGTAAGATAACTTCTTCGGACGGGAGGTTTTTTTACCACAGACTTACAGAAGTGGTGCCGTTAAAAGAGTTTCTTCTTGGAGAAGGTGCCGCCTAAATGAAACAAAGTGCAATGGCCATTGAGATCGATGCTGTCCCTGTCAGGAGATAATATCAGGCGATGTATATTTGATGATAAACAAACTTGGTGGGCCATCTTGCCCAATGGTTCTTCTTATCCTGGGTCTCTTACTCCGCTCCTACGCCCATTTCTCATTTCTTAATGCTAATATAGAATGCGTCACGTGTTATGAAAGATTAGTAGGCCTCAATATTACAATTTGAACCCGATTTTGAAGCATCCTTCAAGATCGGTCCTTCACTGCTTTCATAGCAGCTCATGAATGTCACAATGCAATGAATTACTCTTGGGCCGCAGGGATGATTTTGAAGCACCCCTGTAAGCCTTTAAATTACATTGAAATGATAGGCCCTAGGATAGATACGATCAATAATTCATTGGGAGTTCGATTTGGTATCTTTGGTGTTTGCTTTGGAATAGCCTAATCCCGGGGGAATAATCACGAATCTCGCGAATCTACCCGGGGAATCTACCTTACGTGAAAGTTAGTTAGCCTACATTCTATTGACAACGTAACATTCATTTGTCATCGTGACCTGCAGGTCATGCGAACCATCAACATGCAATGGTGTATGTTTACAAAAAAACTGGAAATCAGGAGTTTTATTAAGACGGGACTTCCCCTTTTTATGTCACCACCAAAAGTGGTCACATATTGTTAAAGTCTCCAACTTTTTTATGTACGGTGTTTAGCGTCTGGGGTCGGCGTTCAGCGTCTGTAACAAATGGCGGGTGGTGACATTTTTCATGTTTATGCCTTGTTTAATATTTAAGGCTCCAAATGAAATATGATATCTGATATCATCATGATGTTATTCTTATTATATTATTCTGTTTTGCAGGTGCCAATGAGTATGACACACAAGCAGTGACAATTGAGTTATAGCCCAGGGAGTTCAAGTTTATGCATCTTGCCTCAAGTAAAGTGTTAGTCCTTAAAGACAGGACTGTTGGGGAAATGGCACAGTTGCTTGATGCAAGAGTAAAACTTTGAAATAACCATAGATAATATTACAATAGATAAAAGTTTGGCATGCATTATTTTTTTTCGTTTCATTATTAGATTTGAGAGCAGGTAGACGTATACAGCAGTGCAGTGAATTATGTTTGTATTTTAAGAAGTTGTTTCTCAGGTGTGACCAGCGATGATTGCAGGCATGAATACACTTTAAATATATTTCCTAACATATTCCTTCAGTAAATACACCCGTTTGCATGTTTTAAATAAGCCGTAAATAAAATGTTTAAACTTTGTTAGCATGGTCTATAATCTACAACGACCGTCAACCTTATTAGGTTTTGATTTGTTTTGTTGAAATTAGATTAAGAAATTAGTCTTTCAAATGTCACCAGCATGGGCGTAGCCAGGGGGGTGCGATGGGTGCGATCGCACCCCCCCCCCCCCCATAACCTTTGAAAATATGACCATTGGATAGAGGTAGAAAAGAGCTTTAAAATGCTTTTTATTTGAAGCTTCTAGCTCAATTTTGAAGGAAGTTGCATCAATTTTTGTAAAATTCAAAAGAAAACTTAATTTTTTGTGTTGCTTATGGCAAAATCGCACCCCCCCCCCTGACCGAAAACGAAAACTCTTTAGGGTTGAGGATTCACGTCGGTTTAAATTAGAATAATTCTTTACTATCTGGTTTTGTTTGCTTCATTGTGAAATGTTCATCGAATTGTTATTTTTCGAATCATTTCCATTTCGTTACATAAGTTATTTGGAATAAACTTAATTTCAGCTAAAATGCAGGGTAGTGCATGGCTGTTTTTTGAAAATTTTTATTTTAACCTTTTGTTGCTTATCACTGTATTAATTATGAGCACAAGTTTTTATGTTTGTTTATTTGTTTTTATTTCTTATACAAGTACAAGTAAGTTATACATTGCAAGTCACACCCGTAGCAAACCCTACATTGCCTTACAAAGTTAACATGAGCAGTTTCGAGAAACATTAGAATATGGGAGGGGTTCAAGAAGAGACCCGGTGTAAAAGGGTAGGAGGTCAAGACAGTATCTGTTGGAATGTTATATATTTCCCTATCCATTATATGATAGGCGTATGCATGAGTGGAGGGTTGTGGAAATAGGGCCTCGTGAGAGATACATGTACTTGACAGTCAGTAATTGTTTACACCCCCCCCCCCTTCCTTGAAATGCTGAACTAATGTGCTTTTTGTTCATTGAAACAATACGAAATCAAAATTGATTAGTTTCCTAATTACAATAAAAACAAACGGCTGATTAGAAGATTACAGTGACTGTTTCCCGTCATTACATAACAATGTTGAAGGTGGGCAAAGGAAATCGAGTCTGTATTGATCTAGTTAATAAGCATGATACGTGATTATAAACGTAGAGTAAAGGAAATGCCAGGATTTTTTTTTAGCATTCTCATTGTAATCAGAACTATGTGAATTTATACCATTCGCTTAGACATGGGCTAAAATTTTGATTCTTTTCAGCCTAATATTCTATCCAACAGCATTAAATGATCAAACTCAATTATTTAGTAAAACTTCAATAAGGGATCACGTGAATTTCGATACAGCGGTAAATGAAAGTTTTATGCTTATTATGCGGGAACTATGAAATATTAGATTTAATTACCTAGGTACCGTATTCGAGAGGACATTTTATCCTTTTTAGATTTTATATCAATTTTGACATTTTTGGCCTCTGGCTATGAAATATGTCTCTGATATTTATGTATTTCCCGAGAGAAAATTGGACATTTGCGGGGCCTGATGCAAGACTAGTTATCTGTTTTCCTGGCTTGTTTGAAATGGATAAACTTTGTCGTAT